AATTAAACTCAAGACACTACCCTGAATGTCTTGTGGCCTACAAGGGATCAAAGAAGGAAAGCACAATTGCGATAGGAGTGAAGAATGGCAGAATATTTCAAACTTCATGATCAAAATGGATATAGAATAATCAATCTTTAAAGCCACAAATAAATGTATTAAAGAATGAGCTATTTGCATCAGCTTCTGATAACCAACCCAAGACAATTTTCTGACAGTACTATGAGACAATCACAAGTAAGAAAATCTTTAAAATCACACAAAAATTAACTGAATTTCTATTTGAAATTTTATTATAATGGTCTACATTTTCTTGCACACAGACCATTCTATTCCTACATTAAACATTGACAAAAATGAGATGTGGCTGGCATTCCACTGAGGTCCAAATAACACAATATATAAAGTTTCATTTTGCTACTAAAGTTTACAACATATTCTACAAATACTAAACATTTTGAAAAAGAACAAGTAAGACATTCAGCAGTCTTATATAATATTCAATAATTTTTCTTTGATTCTGCATTGCTTCAGATCTACAAACATATATAAAGAAAAGGTCAAAACAACAGCTAGAAGAAAAATTTCTTGACCAGGAAATGGAAATGCAATCATTTGTATACTGATGAATGTGTCATTCACATGACTGATGACATAAAAAATGGTGGATGATTACAAAAAAATATTTAATCACCTCATACCATATTTGTGGTAATTTTTTGCCTATGTTTTGACCTGTACATTTCAGTTTCTCCATATATTTGCCACCTTCTGGTTTGGGTTTTGTTTTTTGTTTTTTTAAGTATACCACCCTGACAGACAGCAAAAACTATAAATCTTCTGAGTGAGACAGAGGACAATTGCTTTTCTGTAAATCCATTACACATGTGTGCTTCTACTATTGTGCTACAGAGTTATCTTTGGAGAGAAAAACTTTTTATAAACACCTAAATAGCTGCATACTTCCTTAAAACTGGCTATTTTAGAAAAAGAACAGTTTTCTCGAGAGAGACCTACACATCTCCTTACCTTACACTTGGTCTTTAGCCAACATTTTTACTTTATTTTAACTACAGGGAAAAAAAAAGTGTCCCTCCCTCCCACCTTTGCCGTTCAGCTGCAGAGGGTCTTGCTTTTTTTAATGTATGTTTAACGATTCTATATTAAGTCACTGCTCTTCCTAAACCTGTATTTTTAAAACCTTAAGTATAGTACTTCTGCAAATGTCTATTTAACCCTTCAAGTTAATTGGTTTCTGTTAGGTCTTGCCTATTGTTTTCAGGGAAGCAGTTTAGTTTGGAGTTTTGGAGTGTTTTCCTAAAGCTAACATTCAGCTCCTAATCTTGATTGTTAAATATTAATTTATTGACAGACCACACTCTGTGTGTCATAATGTGTCTAATATTTCCTGTGCTCAGAGGACCAGCAAAGACTCAGGTCAAGGAATTAATGCATGCTAAGCCCCGGAGCAATCCTTTTTTTTTTTTTTTTAATATGTATTTATATAATTGTTGGGTCTAGCCAGGTCAGAACCCAATTATAGTAAGTGCTGTGTAAATATTAACATCCACTTCATTCTTCACAAGGTTCTTGACCACAACAAAAGGTGTGAAAGATAATTAAAAGGTGCAGATTAATTGAGGACTTTGAAGTAATGTCATCATGGTGGTATGTCTAATTGACCAAGGAAAAATAGCACAATATAGATACTCTAATAGTTATTCTAAACCTTAATCAACTCTTTCTTATTTCCCGAAAATTTCTTTCTTTTTGAACCATTGTCCCTCATATTAAGATTTCCATCTGCATCAAGTGCTATAACATCTTGCCAGATCATTTATTTCTTCTTCAGGCTGTAAATGTTTTAGTAGCTTTTATCATGAATTTGATTCACTTATTGCAATAAATTATTTTTTTGTTTGTTTGTTCGTTTTTTTCCCCCACCATCCAATTAAAACCACCTCCAGTCTGAAAATAACTGTGTTCTTGCCAGGCAAGCATATCTAAGCCTCTACTAAGTCTTCCAGCCCAACAGGAATTCATAAAGCTTAATTAAATTCGAGAAGGAAACATCAGTGGAAAAAAAGAAATCTTAAAATCTTAAATCCTAGAGGAAAACTGAATAGCCACAGTCACTTTTTCATCTGAAAATTAAGAAAAATGCAAAATAAATAAATAAATAAATAAAAATTGCATATATTACTAAAATACTTTGTTTTAATATTTATTCTTATTATCTCACATTCCAGCTATCCTCTTATGTATTAATTGAAAGGTCATGTTGTTTCACTGCAGCTTTCAAAATCTGTATTCTGTTATAAATTCCTATATGAATACTGCTCCGTGAGTATCGTTGTCATCTGCAGTAACCCAGGGAGACAATTTTCTTGCTTTTTTTTAATAGTGGAGTAACATTTTCACAAACAGCTCACTGAAGAGCAAAGCTACAGCTCTTTGCAAATTGCTATAATTAGATATTATATTATATTATATTATTAATATTATATTATTAATTAATGCTTCAAACATCTCAAACTGGGCAAAGATGCACAAAACAGTTCTCTTTGAAAAGATTTATCTGCAAAAGAAAGTCATCCTTATGAGCCTGAACTTCAGTTTTAGTAGCACGGTGTTGTTCTAAAAGGTCTCTTAAAAAAACAATAAAATCAGAAAGAAATAAAAGACATAGGAATTGTTAAGACTATACTACAAGTTTCACTGGTCTCTAGCATTGAAAATACATATATTTGTACAATACAAATACAATACAATAATTGAAAGTACAACAATACTTAACCTAAAATTCAGAATTTGAAAAAGACAAAACATATTTTATTAATTTTAAGTATTATTTCAGCCTGAGAAAACAACAGTTTGAATTTGTACATTTCTACTTTCCAACATCTTGTGAACTGTTCTAACCCTTAATGCTGAGTTAGTTTGATGAGCTGTTAAGTGTTCCTGCAATGAAGTGTCACCAAAATTCCTCAAAATAAACTCAATCTATTTGACCAGAGGGTATTTGCAGAATTTTTGGTAATTTGATATGTGTAGTTGTTGTTCGTTGCATACAGCAACAGATTTAAATATGAAGGTGATTTTCTTGTATGACTGTTTTTTTAATTGTTAATGATGGAATTCCTTGAAGACTTTTAAGATAAATAAGTATTTCTGTTATGCTCCCAGTAATGTGCAAATGTGAGTAAGATAAGACCTGCAGACATGCATTCTTATTAATTTAAAATTTCAGTTTGGATCAAATTTCAAAACAAGCAGCAGTATTTGCTGAGGATTACTCTGCCTTCTGTTGAGCTGATTGCTTTATCTTTTTCCAAATCCAACAAAAGTCTATCTGTTCTTTTCAGAGTCATTATCAAGAATTACAAAAAGAAGTGATGTTACTCAGTAAATGAGTAATCAGAATTTTGTCTTAACCATTAAGGATTCCATAGTAATGTAAATCACCATTTGTGTTTTACTTAACTTTTTTGTCCTCTACTTATTCTGTACTTTACTATTCTTCAACATTCTAAACATTTTTGCCCTTAAATCACTTGTTTCAGGAAAAGATAAATTACAAGAATACTAACAAAATAGATTTCTTCTATTTTGGTACATCAATTACATTTACATTTCCTGCCATTACAAGACAGGAAAATCTGAAACTCACTGATATTTCTTGATGTTGCCTTTGATAGAAAACAAGAAACTTCTCCAGATGGGACAGGTAAGTGTCAACAAACTGTCAAAAAAAATATGGAAATACGTGCTGGTGACACATTAATGTGAGGTAACTGTTAATAATTGCTTTCTGGTGCTCCTATTTTTGCTAGGCTGCTGCAATACTAACTGGAAGCTACAAAAGAAGAGCTGTCCTGCTAGTGTACCCATTTTCAGCTGTATGGTCTTTTCAAATTTTTTTCTACTACAAGCTGACCTCTTTCTGTTGCACAAAAAAATTCTCTCATGGTATCAGGATCCAAATTACATGGAGCTTTCCAGCTGCTTCTGCTTGTGGATCATCGAGAAGTACTGGTAAGATTGTCGATACCACTGCTCTTCTCGATAGTTCATGATAAATAACATTTATAACCCTAGTAGTGGATGGGAATGTAAGTAATCCTCACTAGATTATGTATGGAGCAGAGTTGGTGTTGATTTCTGAGGGAGCTACTTCCTCTGCTTGCTTGACTGGTTGCTATGGTTCAGAGAAAACAGCAGTTGCTCAAGGAAAAAGAGAGGGGAACCCCTAAACAAAGGACATGAAAACCATTAGTCTTAAAAATTGATTAACTGTTAAGGTAGAGATAACCTCCCTATATTCCTCTCGCAAAGCTGACAGGGGAAATAGAAAAGATGGGAGAAAATAAAGGACAGAAACATTATTTTGTTCCATTTGGTCAGGTAAAACTTACATTCTTTGCACTATATCTTTCATAAGCTTTAATGAATAACCAAAATGTGAGAGTGGAACATTTTATCTTTCAATGACAGTACTACTGATATTGTTTGAGTTGGAAGAGGCTCTAGCAGGCCATCTAGTCCAACTTCTCAGTAATGAACAGGGATACCTATGACTGGATCAGGTTGTTCAGAGTCCCATCCACCCTGACCTTGAGGACTCCACATCTGGATGCAGTACTCCAGGCAAGGTCTCACCAGCACAGAAAGGTGCAGGATCATCTGCCTTGCCCTGCTGGCCATGCTTCTTTTGATGGAACCCACGGTACATTTGGCTTCTCGGACTGCAAGGACTCATTACTAGCTCATGTTCAGCTTCCTATCCACCAAAAGGTTTCTTTCAGCATGGCTACGCTCAATCCTTTCATCCCCCAGCTTGTTCTGATAGCAGAAGTTGCTGCTACCCAGGTGCAAGACTTTGCAGTTGGTTTTGCTGAACCACATGAGGTTCACCTGGGCCCACTGCTGTAGCCTATTTGAGACAACTTTGCTGTTCCCTCTTCTGAGTATTGAGGAAGAAGTATAGTATTTCAGATGCTGCTGCATAGTAAGTAATAGAGAAATGCCTTCTGTTTTACAGGTAAAAGATTCCTTACAAATAAATTAATGTCTTTAATAGTTTCTTACTTAAAATAGCATGCCTCCTATGTTATAGAATGCTGTGAAAAACCATAGCAGAACAATATTTTAGTTTACAATTTTTCTCCGGAAATGGCTTAAAAAGGAAATTCCCAGCGTATAATTTTACCAAGTTCTAATTAACTAGCTCTACTCCAAACTAAACATGGGGTAGAAATAAGAAAAAAAAATCAAAATATTTGAAATCAGAAGCAGATCATTTATCCGTAAAGAAAGTGAAAAAACTTAGGAAAGCAGTGGATGTAAATGCTTTATCATGTAGGAAATGTAACTAATGAGAAATTCAGCAAAACAGAGACATGGGAAAGAGAAACTGCAGAGAGGTATAGTTCATGAGTTGGCCTGTATCCTAAAAACGCAATGTATCTCTTATATGACCATTTTCATCTTAAAATTGTTAAAAATCTTTCTAATATCATATTGGATGTTTACAGAAACCGTTTTCATGGAAAGCCACTGTGTTCCAAAATTTCCTGATTTTTTTTTTTTTTTTTTTTTTTTTTCTTCGTAGAAATTATAGTGTTATCTAAGTCATTCAGGCAGTTAAAGAGCAGCTATTTAACTTTGTAGTTATAGATTATATTAGTGATGGAATTTCCACAACTTCTCTTGGTAAGAGAGTCCACAAATAAATGTGTATAACTGTTTGGCTGCCTTATCTTTGGAATATATACTGGAACAAATAAGAAAGTTTTACTCTCTCTGTTAGTAGCATCTACTATAAAGATATATCAAGAAACACTGAGAGTATGCTGTCAATATAAAGAAATATTGAGGGCATTGTAATAAGTTTGTAAGGGCCTAAAAATAAGATAGAAAATGAAGCTGAGAATATCGTATGTATTAATTTTTCTTCAATTCTTCGTAGAGTTTTTAAATGCTTGAAGTTTGTTTTTTACTTCATAGCTCTTTAAAAATCTAGATGTAAAAAATTGTAATTGAAATTGTTTTTTGTCATTTGATTTGTAACTCAAAAAAAAAAAAAAACCCACCCAACAATTTGTTAAACAAAGCTATGCAAATTGCTTTGTATGTACCCATCATTCACTGCTGCATCTGTCTCAATAAAGTTTACTCAACCACCTTCCCCTTACAGACATAACAGCTCATGTAATTTTAGAAGTGCTTCCTTTTGCTTATCCATATATTTAATTGTTATTGTTTTCAAACCTGTTCCTATAGAGTTCATCTAATCTAGGGAGCTTTTTATGTAGTTAAGTTTAAGAGCATCTTGACTTACATTTTCTTCACTTGCCCTGCAGATAATCAAAGATTATCACCCAGTGTTTTCTAAATGCTCAGATTTATTCCTACCCTTCCCCCTCCTTCTCTTTTTCCTTCCTTCTTTCTTTCCATATTCTAAGAACAGGTTCATGGAAATTCTTAATAGATTATTCAAATTCATATCTTTTAAGCTTGGTGGTGTTGTTGTTGTTTAGTAAGTAGAACTTCTATTTTATTGTATGCCATTTGAATGAAGTCCAAAGTGTCATAGTCAAACTGTTGCTAAGATATTGGAAAAATAAACAGTAAATGTGAGCTTCAGTATTCTTAATATTAGATTGTTCTCTATATACTACATTTGGCCATACATTTTCTAAAATTATTATTGATCTTTGACGCTTAAATTAAGACAGTATATGTCACCTTATTTTTTCAAAAACTTTTGAAAAATACTCATATCCTACTTTCCTTAAAATTAATCTGTCTCCTTTGGAAACAGTTAAGATGAACCCATACGAACCCTTTCCTGTCTAAACTACTGCACCAAACTTCTTTAGCAGTGAGATTGGACCAGGTGATCTCCAGACATACCTTCCAACCCCTGCGATTCCGTGATTATAATTGTATAAATACTAAGAAAACTTTAAATTGGAAAATTTTCTTAATAATTTAATAAGTGCATTTGAGGAAGATATTTTTCTCAAAGTACCTGTCAAATGTGGAATAGGGGACGAGGCTGTTTTGCTTCTACATAGATCTCAACAAACTAGTCCAACTGCAGCCATAATATTTGCAAAGTATCATGAAAATTAGCAGATCTTTTCTTATTTTTCCAACCCTCTCTGTGCTGTTCTTGTTTCTGTGAAGATCAGCTTTCAATAATATTTTTTCAGCATACATCACTGTAGAAGCCAATTAAGCTACTCATGACCATATCTATTCAAGTAATATCTATGCTTATTTAAAATCAAAATCACCTGGTGTAGGGAACATGCTTTGGCAGGGGGGTTGGACTTGATGATCCCTGGAGGTCCCTCCCAACCCCTAGAATTCTGTGATTTTTATCTCATATATTATGTTATGTGAGAAAAGAAGTGATTCACATAACCTAACAGATGAAGAAAGCTATTCACCTGTCCTCACTCACAAATTTCCGAAAAGCTTTAGGATTGTCTTGTATTTTGTGTTTTCTGTTGAACAGGTAAGCTAAAATCTCATTTTTTAGTTCTCAGTGGGGATCTTTCCAAGGGATTGGAATTAACTGTGAGGTGTCCCAGGGCAGGAAAGATTATCTTGATTAATCTAGCCCAGAAAATTCTAAAATTCTGGGAAAATATTTTGTTAAATCAATAATAATCTGAAGAGGAGGGAAATAAGGAATTTTTTCTTGTCAGTCAATATTTAGGACATTTTTTCAAGCATCTAAATAATTAAAATAGGCAAGTTTAAAGCCAGTGACCTGAATCTAATCTGCATTTAATTAAAACGCTACAAGTATTTGAAGTGTTAGAAAGTCTAAACAATTACAGTTTAGGTTTTCTCTCCTGTCACAGGAATCCATGTAGATTTCCTGTGCTAAGTACGCAGTCATTTGCTGAGGTGTTTAAGAATAAATAGTCTGTGAAGATTACTGCAAATATCTGAAATCGGATTTGATTTCAACATGTCAATATTTTATTTACAAGAAAAAAATATCTACATAAGTAGATATTGGAGTGCCCATTTACTGTTAAAATTTGCAGTTCTAAAACAGTTTGAAGTATGACTTCAATATTTTTAGCAAAGCAAAATGGAGAAAATTGCAGCAATGTCAAGATTGTTCTTTTCAGAATGTTAAATAAGAATTTTGTTTCTTTCTTTCTGAAGAAGCACAAGGATTCTGGCATTAGAGAGTTTCTGTTTCTTGACTACAAAATGGATGAAGTCTTATGATGTCCAGCAGACACCACTCTCTGAAACAGTGGCTGGAATCCAGCTTTCTGTCCCACTGAGTACTTCAATAGTCATGCTATGCAGTGTCATTCTTACTCTTTTCCTGAACTAATATTTAGTTACATGAAGTTGAGCCTTTTTAAAAGGAGATTGATATTTGCTCATTTCAGAGTATCCTACAAGCCAAGACCTATACTCTCTTGAGATACGGAAGAGCCAAGCTCAAGGCTTTGCTGTAAATCATGAATAAAGAAAGTTTTGATCTCAGCATTTCAGCACAGCAGGTAAGTGTTCTAGCAATTTCATTACAGGCTGTTGGTAGAAATAGCCACTGTCTATTCCAACATTCTTGGTGAATGACTGAAAAAAGCTGGTGAATCTAGTTACTTCTGTCATTCTTGATTTAAAACAAAAAAAAAACAACAACAACAACAAAAAAAACTCATGATGCGTTATTTTTCACTTTACTTAGCTAAAATGTTTATTCATTGAAAGAAAAAATTAGAGGTCAACAGGAAACAGTTTTAATACATCTTGAAACTTCTTATTGAAGCACAAAATAATCACCTACACCATGAAGAAATTTAAACACTTTTAAGGAACTGGCTGGATTGACAGATGAGAGGTGTGTATGTGCGTAGGGTGACTATTTTTGAACAAAAATGTGCCTAAAGATCATCGTCATAAGGTTAGTAAATATAATGCAGTGTTGGATATGGTGACTTTCTAAATGAAATCAAACCAAGGTTTAGAGAAAGTCAGTTTGCCTGTCTTTCATTTTGAACAAATTAATCATGTTAAGTCCCTACTCGTGTTTGTAGACAAAAAAATGTGCTTTAGGTGATGGGAACTATAGTGAAGTTACACAGGTTTCTGCATGAGCAGCAGAAGTGAACAGAGCCTCTCAAACATGAAACAAGGCAGTGCTTGACTCTCAAACATGAAACAAGGCAGTGCTTTTGAGACTAAAGTGGGCAGGAACACAAAACTGAAGAAAAAAATGCTGAACTTATCGATAAGTCAATCAGTGTATCAAAACTGCTGTCATAACTCACTGGACCTTTGAGGGAACTTACAGCAAACTGACCAAAGTCTAACCAGGCAACAAACTTTACTTATCTCTCATTCTGAGATGCCAGTGAAGTGCTCCCACAGGGTAGTATCAGGAAGCTTTTTTGCTGCATTTCTCCTGCCTGTTTCCATTTTTATTAGTCTGGTATCTTTCAAGAGTACTTGTGGAGATAATCATAAAGGATAATTTTTTTATAATCAACATCTTCCTCTATGGTCAGCTCTACGAGTGTTATTTTACTGCTGCAAAACTGTCCATACCAGACATCTAAACTTGTTTATAGGCAAGATGAACACTTCAGAAACAAGTTTATCCTACAATTCTCTGAAATAACAAACAATCTTAGAAATGAAATACGCTTGTTCTCTTCCTTTTATATGCTGTTCAGACATGTTTCAGAGCAAGAGAATGGCTCAGTCTTCCACTTATCAAGATTGTGCTTCTTTTTACTGCTAAGTGATCATAAATAATATGTGAAAAACTTCCCACTAAACAACAAAGATTAGATGAGGCTTTAAAATAAACTTAAAAAAAACATTTAACAATGTTAGCACAGATTATATAGCTTGAGATGTTGACTTTCTTGGCAACGGTTGCTATGTAAGGTAATCTGATTTGATGCCATCAACTATAATGAGTGCATATTTCAGGATTATTGCACTACATTAAGAAAAGAATAATGCAGAAACTCTAAACAAATAAGTACAATGAATTTCAGCAGTCAAATGAAAAGAAATAAAATGGGGAGTTAAAACTACCAAAGGAAAAGAAAAAGCAAAGATAGAGATGAAAAAGCAAAGTATTCTGCATTGACTGCACTTTGGAATTTATTTCAGTAAATTCTACATCAAAACCATTATCAAACGATAGCTGTAAGAAAATGTGTGTAAGAAACTATGATTCTGTCTTTGAGAATCTTTCCATTAACAAGAAAAAATGATTTGGTGAAATTCACTTATCCTTTACTCACATATTTCTTCATATTTCACTGTTCAGTAGCTTGTAGAAACTAGGCCAACATTCGCTGCATTTAAGTTCATTAACGCACTGTAAATTCTACCATGGTTCTTACTAATTGTTTTGCAGGCACTGCCTTGATAGTTCGTATTTTATAGTTCATATTCATTCACACTTACTGCCCTATCATTTTTATAGCAATGTGAGATTTAGCTACATTTGGTAAGGAGGCCATGATTCATACATGATTTTTGTAAATGTCTTTCATTAAAGTAAATTTTATCAAGTCCATATACATCATTTAAACATGACCTAAGAGATTTTCAGAAATTGTTTTGATTCTTATTCAAACCCAATATTATAAAAGTGGAGATAACAAACTTCTTATGAGTAACCCTTAAAAGATGTGTGTGTCCTTACTTTGGCTGTAATACGAAAACATACCTCTCAGGACTGTTATTTGATTCTAGAGGTGATTATCTAGTAATTTGGTTGTGCAGAAATTTGAAATGATATATTAAGAGAAAAAATATAAGCAAAAGCTTTCCTTTTTTTTTTAAGCTTGTTCAAAAGTATTGTAGATAATCCGTGTCAACTTTTATTTTTAACCACATCATTCACCTCTGTACATTTTCAAATTATAACCTTTCAAGAATTTACATATTCTTAACACTTCTCTTCAAATATTTAGTTTTCCACATTAAACATTTAGGGAATTTAAACTTAATTTTTCTTCACCGTTGATTATCTGCATCCCAACAACTTTTCTACACTTCTCCTTTCTTTGAAGTAAACAAATAAACCTGTGGTCTCCCTACCTTTTTAAGTACTATATATAACAACCACTCTCAGCTTGGCCCCTTTTATGAATGCTTCATAGTTTTTGCATTTTGAAACGTCAGAATAATGGAGATCCTTTGTTATGGACATTGTAGCGCTCCTACTTACTGCTTTAGATTGTCATTCAGACCTGCATTCTTCAAAACTTTCCTGCAATTATTTTCTTGGCATTTCTATCTTTCACTTCAGTCCAAATGTTTTATGTTGGCAGGAAATTTGCAAATGTCATTCCTTTCTTCTGATATTCTCCTTAAATATATATTATACCGCATGCTCCAATCCTCCTGAATTACTCTTTACTGGGCTTTATACTGTTTTATCTTAGGTCTCTTTTCAGACTAAGCTAGAAGTCATTTCTTTGTAATTCACCATGTTTTGGTTAAAAATAATAATAATGTTCATTTTATACCTACAGTTCAGCTACTGTGTTCATTATCCCTTCTTGTATCTGAAAAGAAACAATATTTCAAAATGCTTTGGCCCCTTTTCTTTAGGAAGCCACCATGTTTTTCTTTCCACTTGTTACTTTTACCTTCACTGCATCAATCTGCTTTAACAACACTTACCTGCCATCAATTTCCGTCTGTCTCTTCCTTTCTCATTCAGATGCAGCTTCTGTTCAATAGCTTTCAGCTTCCACCTGTGACTGGCAGGAAAGCTGCAAGTACATCTTTGCACCTTCTTCCCCACAGTCTCAAGAGGAGATGTCTGAACCACATTTTCAAAAGCTCAGATCTCCACTCTTTGTCATTTATACCCACATATACATTAGCTGCCTTCTCTTGCCATCTAAATTATCTTATCACTGAGCTGTCTACAACTCTCTTTAGTGTAAAAATTTCATTTCACAGCAAGTACTGCACTTTCCCTGTCAGTTCTTTAATTACAATGTCAGGAAAATTGGTGGCAGTTGAAGAGGAAAGGATTATTTCTCTTATGCTTTGAGAGTGGAGGTTGTGTGTGCTGGGAAGGGGAGAGGGAGATAAATGCAGTAAAGAAAAAAAAAAACTGTCTAAAAAGAGGAGAAAATATGTCTTTTCCAGGACAATCTCTAAAAGAATTATTTGCACTCATTCCTAGACTTTCAGACTCTCAGACACAGGAAAGAGTCTACATATCTCTAAAACCATCTTTAGTATTGCTGATCATTCAGGTTCTGTCTTTAATTTTGTTGGCACTTTTTAACTTGTCATTAGAAATAGGTTGCAGAAACTTTCCACTGAATATTTCCATCCAAACAAAAATACTTCATTTGAGTAAACACGTCATAGATTCTGTATTTCTCTTCTGCAAAGTGCTTTACAATATTTTGCATCTGCTCCATCCCTCTTTGTTGAAGTGATCCTAGAACTGCTTAACTACATGAGAAGATATTACTAACATCTAGATCTATGGTGAGTTTTCAATACTGTACCTCCCATCTTCACTGTAAGTGGTGGAAGGATGCCAGTTTACATTGTTGAAGATTTAAGTACCAGAGCTATGAATCTGGAAAAGTCTGATGGCTTAGTTTTCTGTATCACTAAGCACAGAATAAGTAATTTTGAAGAGTCAGATCTTTTTCTTTTGACCATCTTTGCTACTTTGCTGCTAATTCTTTGCAGAGCATGGTGCTGTGCAAGAACTTAATTACAGATGAGATATTTTGTCATTTACATTTGAAAGATTTTCTGTGCATATGAACCCTGCAGGACTTACTGGAGAAGTGACGATGAAAGGAAACATTTGTGATTACAACCTGAGCGTTTTGTTGTTATCATTACTTTGATAGACAAACAGAAAAAGAGGTTAATACTTTACCTCCTCCTCTGTAAAATATTACTTCCAATTTTTTTCCCCATGGATGTCAGAAATCCTCTTTATTTCCTGTCCACAAATAGCACTCCTTTTGGTGATGATGCAGTGAATCAAACATATTCTGAAGCACGACATTATTCTTCCTCACAGATGTTTCAAACAAATTTATGTGTCTGCTTGTGCATGTTTGTGTGTGTCTAAGTGTCTATACACTTAGCATATAAACTTTAAATTTTTCTTTATTTACTTTCAGATGTTCGCGTGTACCATGAAAACCCAGCTCATGATCAGGATTATGAGAATCTTCCTCAGCATATTCACCTGGACGTGAGAAATCAGTAGCATATGATTTCTATTACAGGGATATGTGCAATGGTAAATGTAAGGACTATGATTACTTGTCTGTGTAAGCAATGCATTCTTCTATTTTAACTGGGTGAAAAAGATAGCAGCAAGTGCCTCCAAAACGTCAAGTATTTAAAATAAATGCAATGAGAACAATGACGTGAGTAGAGGCCATCCAAAAAGAAACAAGTCAGAAGCTCCCTTTCTGTTTAGCATGTTATTATTTCCCTAAGTAATGTGTGATAGGAACTTTAAGCATTTATTACTAAAAATGAAACACTAACATATTTTCATATTTTTGAAGATGTAGGAATATTGGAAAGACAAGTTCTTTCAAATTCCTTTATTAATTAATAAAATTCTTTCTGATGCTACTCATCAGTAGATTTTTCCTTACTTCTAATTTCTTGTTTTTCTAGAACTCTGCTCTAGGTACAGTTTTCATGTCTATTTTTAGTGAATGAATGGATAAAATAACTTCTATAGCACGTGGCTCACCTTTTTAATTATGTTTAATAATGTCTATAAATACTAATATTGTGTATTCAGAAATATGCAAGCTTAGAATTGAAGCTGATCTGGAATTGCCACATCATGAACATTCTGACAGACTTAAAAGCATATGCATATTAGTGCATACATATGCATTAGTATATATTAATCCATTGTGGGTTTGGGCAACATGAGGAATTTTGGAAGCATGAATTCCTTTCCATATCCATATGCAAGCAGCTTCTCAGTGTTTCCTAGGAGGAGACTTTACATCCTCTTGGGACAGCCTGTGCCGAAGCTCCATCACCTGCACAGCACAGAAGTGCTGCCTGGCATTCAGTGGAAACCTCCTGTGTTCCAGTTTTTCCCATTTGTTTCTTTTCCTGGCACTGGGCATCACTGAAAAGAGTGATTTTTTGCACCGTTCCTTCAGGTATTTACATTCATGTGATTCGTCCTGAGTCTCCTCCAGGCTTCTTTTCAGGACAGAGCCTTATTATCAAAATGCTTATACAAAACACAGAAATTTCAGTCTTATTTTCTGTGTAGGTATCTGATACTGTCTTTGTTATTTACCATGCATAAAAATAGTGCAAAATACTTTGATACTGTGAATTGTGAAGCTGCACAACTATTGATATTGATCGCCATTGGCAACATTTTAACGAAGTTATGCAAATGTAGAGTGGAATATTTTCTAGTGTATGGAATATCATTCTAGTGTGGAATTTTAAAAGCTCCTTAACATTTTTCCTAATTTGACGGTATTTTAAAACCAAGTTGAGAGTTTAAAGAAACAAACAAAAAACCGTTTTGGGTAGTGTTATTGTCTTCTGACCTTTGTTAGATATGTTTCTCCTGCTGTGTCTTCTGTAAAATATGATTTCTGTATATCAGTTGTTTCATTAATGCTTGTACCTAGACATACTTTTAATTCTGCCTCTACTACTTACATATAGAAGGGTCATAACATAGTATTGTTAAATCCTAAGTCAGATAACAAAGGAGTTCATAACTCTCATTTTTTTGAGAAAATGAACCATATATTTTGTCATTCTTTTTTTTTTTTTTTTTTTTCGAAATTTTGTACAGAGAACAGCAGTTTGATTTAGTAACAGCCTAATATTATGTTGTGTTTGAGTATCTGTGGTAAATGCCTATTAAATCTGTAGATCTTGATCCCAAGCCAATGGAAAGACTCCTGCAGACTTGAAAATGGATTATGTTACCCTTAAAATAAGGGAGCAAAGAAATTTTTCTTTCAAGGCATCCTTAAATTCATATCTTACTGAAAGGCACAAAGTAGGGAGACAGTACAAACTCAAATAGCACTTTTGTGCATCAGAAGTAGGCATGGAAACAAGCTGGGCAATTCAAACGCTTTGTATTCTTATAGAGGAAAAAGTGCTACATTACATGAATCAGTCACTGAAAAAGTGAAGGCTTATACACCTATTTATATATTGCCTGAGTATACTGAGCATAACATGTATCAGTGTAAGTTTACCTGGTATCCTGGATTCAACAAATTGAATGTCAGCAGCTTGCCACTGCAGTGACTAAGGGCAGCAGTGTATTGGGCTGTATCCCATTTGGGATACAAGATACCCATTTGGCACTTATGAGAGAGCACCTGGTGTCCTGTGCTCCTTCTGAACTCCTCACAGCCAAAATCCCCAAGATGGAGATTGCAGAATCGTAGAATGGCCTTGGTTGAAAAGGACCTCAAAGATCATCTAGTTTCATCTCTCCTGCCACAGAAAGTGTTGCCAGCCATTGGACCAGGCTGGCCAGAGCCACATCCAACCTGGCTTGGAATGCAATGAAGGATCTCCACTCAGACGCTGATCCATTGGATGCTATTCTCTGGATAGTGTTTTCTTCCTTTCATCCTTTTATAATTTTTACAGAAAATAGAATTTTGTGGTACTTCTGGTTTGATGCCACAAGACAGTGTGCGATTTTTAAATACCACAATGTATTATCCCCTTCATACTTTTTTTCTCTAGAGTTGTGTATGTAGCTTTATTTTACTAGGAAACTCTGTTGAATATTCAATGCTATAGAAGATCTTGAAAACCATCCTCCCGGTAACAGAGTAAGATACAATTGCATAGAGTAAAATTTCTCAAGCCAATCAAAGTACAATACTTGAGGAAGAGCAAAAGAAATACAAACAGGCCTGCTATCATTTTTGTTACAATTCACATTATTGATTCCAGTAGTTGTTTTTAGTGTAATTGTGGGTGATACATACTAAATGGAGACAATTTTAAAAATGAAAGTTAATACATATATATGTAAGTATCTACCACCATAATATTTTCTTCCTATCCATGCTTGTTACATTCATAACACAGCTAATTTATTTATAATCCAATTCTAATGCATTTAGTGGTATCTTTTCTTAACTTTTCTCGGTTTTAGGAATCTCTGCTTGGAGTGTGACTATAACTGACAGGAGTAAGAAGACTGAGCACAGTGATGTTCTGAATGCTAACATTTACATTTGTCATGTGATGTGTATGTTTATGTAATTGAAAGCTGAAAATATTGTCAGTATATGAATGGATATTTGATGGGTGACAGCTTTTCTCAAGAAGAGTTTAAAAATAATTTTTGAAATAATATGCTAAACTGAAATGTGAAAGTGACATCAGAGTATTACAGAGTAATAGCCCATCTTGTATTCCATATATTACATTTATTTTCTAGAAAGGCACCAGCATTCTGGGAATATTTTATAAAGTTTTTAAAAGATAAGAATAGCAATTTTTTCTATAAATCCCAGTGTCATAAATGCTAACATGAATCAAAATTATACAGGGCTCAAAGGACTCATAACATTTCTCTGAATTATCTAAGTAGCTACTTTCTTCCTGGGTTTAAATTCAGAACTTAAAAACCTGATCAAGCTGGAAGCTAGATTCAAATCCACATAGGGCAACAGGTATGGGACTTCAAAATGATACAGCCATCATATTGGGGAAAAAAAAAAAAAACTCCCATTGACCTATAACTGCACTTCTTGGGGAACTAAGGGTATGTGAGGCTCTGTGGCAGTCTTTTTTAAAAAAACTGCTTGAAAATGTTGGGAATTCGGTCAGTTTGAAAATGTATTATGGTACAGAAACTGACACAGAGCAATTGAAGCAGAGAAAGTCCAGACAGGTGAATATTACAGGCATGCAATAAGTTGAATTGTATCAATAGTGAAATATAAGACACTTAATAATTTAATAGATATGCAGAGTTTTGGTAAACAGCATGAGCATGATGAGCTTATTGATATCAAAATGCCACAGAACATGAACAATTAGGAATGTGGTTTCCTCAGTAAGAGGGATGGTTTCCTTTGACTTCTTTATCAGTAAAATCAGTCACTGTGATCATTCAGTGGACATGCTTGGAAACTGCAGGAGTTAAATGATTCACCTTGGTATCTTGGTATATTACAGCTGTCAAATTTGCATGCATAGTTTTTCTTCAGCCTTTTGTTGACTTATTTTTGTGTGCTACTCCAGTTCTTATTCTAATCAACATGTATTAGGGACATTTTCCAGTAACACAAATCAAAACTTAATTATCAGTTAGATATAGGTATTTTTTTCCCCATCTCTATAGAGAAAAAAATCAGATGTGAAAATATATTGACCCAGGATGGGAGAGCAGCAGGGGAGAGAGATGGAAGGTCAAAGTAGCACTCCCTCTGGAGTGGCAAGGAATGAAATATATAGTAGTTTGAGATGTTGCAGAAATTCTTTCCATAATCCTTTGTGGGCTCTATTTTGTTATGTGATGGACAATCTCATTGTGAGATGGCATCCACCATTCTTCTATTGTTTCTCTATGGTTTTTCTTATGCTATTTCTGATGGTTTTACAATCTCTGAAGCCCAATCATAAACCAAGCCTCAAGATTATGAACCTGATACTATAACAGCCAGTACAACAAGTAGAGAATAAAGCAGTTGTGTTCATGGCAATCAATATTAATGAGGATCACAGCATTTCATCAGGGCTTTTTTTGCTGAAAAGGCTGCAGAGTGGACAAATAATTTTCATCATGTTATATGGTCTAGCTGAGAACCATGAAATTCAGCTATTTCCATGAAAATGAAATATATGACCTTCTGGCCTCAATTTTGGTAAAGTAAAAAGAAGTTTCTGAGTAACCTTTTTTTCTTTTTCTTTTTTCTTTTTGTTTTTAAATAAGCAGTTTCAAAGACTTAAAATAAATTTTGAGGTTTTTTTCAAAGTATATTAAAGTCAGAAGGAATTGTTTGGATTAAAGTCTAATCTCTTGTTCAACACCAGTCTTCCAGTCTTTCATTCTTGCTGAGAAGACTTTATAGACCTTAGCTTCTGTTTTGATATGAATCATACCTTCAGAGGAACATCCTTTCCTGGCCAGAAGATTGAAGGGATCGAGAGAATCCAGCACAAGTAAGCTAAATTGAGCACAAATTTTAATATCCTTTATTGCTAATTTAAAATTTAAAAATTTAAAAAAACATCCCATAGAAAATACCTTAGTCACAATTT